ATATAATCTACATTTGTTTCCATTCAGTAGTTTCCTCTCAAACATTACAGGTTGTGTTTGTGAATGAGGTTTACTGAAGCTTTATCAGTCATTCTTTAAAGCTGACATTTAGTTCAATGAATGGATTTAGTTTTTGGAGAAGTTCCAGTAAAATAGGACCACCATCTTTGCTTTGATCTCTGCACTCAGCCTTTAGAGTAATATCAACAACATCAGGAAGAATAAGAACAAGAACAAGAATAAGAATAAGAATAAGAATAAATTTCAAACCTGCCTCAAAACATGACATCTCCGTTTTATAGAAAACAAAATATGTGTGTATCTGTGTGTGCTTGTGTGTATGTGTGTGTCCAATCAGTAAACAAACAAACAAACAAAAAACATAAGAAAGTGTTTGGACATTAAACTCTGGGTGTATTTGTATCGTATTTCTTTTTTTTTTCACACATCCATCCTGTCTGGAAAAAAACGAGGCTGCAGGCAAACAAAGACTTTCTTGTACCCGAGGACCCAGGTCAGTGAACAGTACACGTGCTCTTGCGCGTCCACGCGCCCTTGTATTGTTTCTCAACAAACGCTCTCAGCTCCTCGTCGTGACTGAACGCAGCTGACGCGTGATTGCTGTGACGCTTTGTGAGTTTGTTTGTTCCAGTCTGGGAGTCAGATCCAAAGTTATTCCTGTCCTCACAGAAAAGGGTAAACACCAGCATCTTTGTTATCTCTCAACTTCTGGTCATTGAGTTGCAAACTAACAAAGAAAGAAGAAAAAATATATAAATCTGATCAAACCACAATCTGATTTGAGGAAATATGGCGACATGTTGTTTTACAGAAAAGCCCCACAGGCACAACACAACTCCACAAAGTTCACTCCACAGCACATCACAGGATACCTGCGCCATTTTACGCACGCACTGAACACACATGGGGCAACAACGTAACTGCACTTCACATGCAGAAGCGACACTCGCTCCCTCTGTGACCCCGCCACCACACACACACACACCCGGCAGACACAACACCGAAACACACCGGTCGCCAGGCAGCGATCCGCGTGCGCGTGTTTTACAGGAGCTCTGTACCACACGGTGAATGAGTGACAAGGTAATTACACAGCGCTCCACCCCCCCACCAACCCCCCACTTAACTAACCCCACCCTCTATGTACTTAGCTCCACTTACAGGCGGCTCTCATGCTCCACTTACGGCGCGTCCTGGTTCCTCAGCGCGCCTTCTCCCAGAGTCCAGAGCGGAGGTCTCCGGGCTCCAAGTATGAACCGGAGCAGGAACAGCTGCCGGTGGTAGTGGCCTCTCCTCTCTCTCTACCTCCCTCTCTTATACTCGCGCGCGCGCACACACACACACACACACACTATCACGCTCCCTCATGCTCTGACTCTACTTTACTGACCCCTTTAGGATTCTCACAAGACCGTTAAACCGTCATTTGCTTTCTAGAATGTGAAATATATAGTACATTGTCAACTCCCCTAAACCATAAAACTAACTTTATGGACCCCACGTGACTTCAGGGGAGCCAGTGAGAGGGATCAGTCTGAGGCAAGGCCCGATCTTTACGATCTAACTTGGAGATAAAACCCCTCAACTGTTTGACATGTAAATGTCAAATCATGCCTCAGGTTTTTTTTTATAGTTTGGACCCAAAGCAGAAAGAGCTTAAAAAAAGATCTCAGCAGTCACAAAGAGGAGCCAGCTGGGCTCACATCTCCCAGCAGCACAGCTCCTGTTTTCCGYCCAGAGACACTGCAGCACTTTGAGTCCGGTGAGTTTAAAGTTCAGCGGGTTGTTTGCGTTCAGAGAGCAGGAGAAGGTAACTTCATTTCAGCGGGAGATGCGTCCGTTCAGGGCGGAAAAGAGCGAGAGAAAAAAAACCTCCCAATTAGTCCTCTAATAGTTGGTTGTCATGACAGTGTTGGTCAGCAAGACGCGCAGATCCGCTGCGTAAACGAGTGCGCGTCCTGTCATTTTATAATTATTAGTAAATTATGTTTTAAACTGTATCTGTGCATGAATGTCGCCTTTGTTTATAAAACTGCTGCCTTTTAAATACACAGTTTGGGCTCACCAAATAGGTTTAAAGGTGGAGAAAATTACACTTTTATTTTTATTCAGGTGAAACTGAAGCCTTTTAGTTGCAGATGTCTCAGATTAAATACAAGGTAACATTTKAACTTTATGCTTCTGCAAAAAGCTGCATAGTGTTTCTTATTCTCACGGACAAGCGGGTTTTTGGGACGTTTTTGTGTTTTTATATGTCCACATTGCACATTCTTATTCATGCAGAGTTAAATATRTAATATGCAGTGTTTTGCTCTAATAGCATTTAAGCGTTCAGGGATCAAACCCGCGATTTTCATGAAAAACAGTTGGGCCAAATGAACCCAAAAACCGTGTTTATTATTATTA